CCACAAACAAATCAATAACCCAAAAAACATTAAGTTAATATCTATCCACCAAGAAAGTGTTATTTCCCCCTACTTTGGGGGGACACAAACATTCATTCCATTAGCAGTACATAACAAATCCCCAAACCTAGTGCTTCGAGGCACTTATTACTAACACTGTTGGTTCTGTGGTCTGAGATCTGCCCATGGTTCTTATTTGGAGTCTCCTATGCAGTTGCAGTGCTGTGTCAGCTGGATGTCCAAATGGTTCATTCATATGCCAACAGCTGACTGTCAGCTGGAACCTCAGCTGGGACTGTCAACTGGATTGCTTACACGTAGCTTCTTCGGTGACCGGGGCTTTGCACAGTGTAGCAGACATGGCAATTATGGCACTTGTATTCCAAAGTAAAGTGGCCCCAGAGCAAGTGTTTCAGAGGACCCAGGTGACATTTCCTGTATTAGATGCAGATCCTTGATGAGATTCAGACTCTTGTTTTTTTGTTTGTCTTTGTTTTGCTTTTGCTTTTTCAATACCGGTGATGAAGCTCAGGGCTTCACACATGCTAGGCAATCAATCTACCACTGAGGTACATCCCTAGCCCTTTTAATTTTCTTTTGAGACAGAGTCTGATCAACTTGTCCAGGCTGACCTTGAATTTGTGATTTCCCTGCTTCAGCCTCTCAAGTTGCTTGGATTACATTTATGCGTCACTATGCCCAACTTGGCATCCTCTTTGGCTGATATTGTTTTATGACGTCAGAAAGATTTCCATTTCAAAAAAAAAACAACAATGGAAATAAATAGCCCTTAAGGATTAACAAAAATTTCATTTACTCCAAAACCAGGATAGGTAACTGGAGTACAAAAATAAATATTTGATTTGCTCAAATGCTTGCTTTTTCTTTTCTTTCCCCCTTATTTTTCCTTCTCTTTTCTTCCTCCACTCTCTCCCTTTCTTTTTCCTAGAATATAAGAAAATATCTTTAGCTTTTTTAAAGTGCTTTTTTACAAGCACTCTAATAAAACAAAAGCACTACATTCTTGTTCAGAAGTTTCCTGAGCTGAGGAGTAGGTACCCATTGCAGTAGCATGATCAGACTCCTGCAGGAAGGTCAGATTGTATCTCAATGATGACTCAAACCCCCTAGGAAGCAAAGCAGCAAGGAGGACAGAACCGGGGATTTGAAGTCTGACAGACCCCGAGTGGGTTCCTGTGCCATTCACCTGTTAAGGTTCCAATCAGAGGGTTGCTCCTCAGGCTTTAATGGGAAAACTGAACTCCTATGAAGGCTGTTAGTCTGCAGAGTCTGATTCTGTAGTTTGGGGGTGAAGCCTGAGAATCTGCATTCTGACAGGCTCCCAGGTGATAACCAATGCCTCTGGCCTATGAACCATACCTGGAGAGCGAGCCTCTAACATGCACAGGGGCCACTGTTTCTAGTCTTTAAAAAGAGTCAATCCTCTGTAAGTTTTTCCTTTATGGAATGTGTTCTCCCGATTCAATCATCAGTACATCGAGTGACCCTGTCACTGCCTTACTGATCCTTTTGAGTTGAAAATGTTTCCCGGTAACTTTATAATAAATGGCATCAGTGACTTCCTTGGCCATAGGGTATTTATGGTAACTCACTCTAAGTAATGCTGCGTGTGGAAAAAGAGACCTGACACTGCCCAGTGCAAAGAGCGGGCAGCACGCGTGTTTGGAAGCCCACCAAGAAGCAATATTCTTGTCTCTGTCCACGAGAAGCCAAGCTTTGACCACAGAGCAGAAGCCTGGGTGGCCTTTTGGGTTTCTAGTCTGCATCAGAGGCGAAAAAAAAAATTATGATAATTATCCCCCACAACATGCTTTCAAGGGAGGAATTATTAGACCCATGTTATAGGTGGAGAAACTAGAGACATGGGGAAGTTATTTTGCTCATCCAAGGCCACCCAAGGTGCCAGGAATGAAAATGAGGTTAAGAACCAAAAATATGGGGCAATCTGTCCCCAGCCTTGAGACATTTTCTATGAGGAATGTGTGTGTATACACTAGTAGAAAAGTCTGTATTAAAAGTGAAGGGTAGAAAAGCACAGAAGAGCTCTCAGTCAACTATTTTGTTATTGATTTTACTTTGCTGCAATTTTTGAACTTACTCATTTAACATAAGTCCTTTTCACAGGTCTTATTTCTTGTTTTCTTTTTTTTTTTTGCCGGGGGGAGGGGTCCTGGGAATTGAACTCAGGGGCACTCGACCACTGAGCCACACCCCAGCCCTATTTTGTATTTTATTTAGAGACAGGGTCTCACTGAGTTGCTTAGTGCCTTGCTGTTGCTTAGGTTGGCTTTGAAATCAAAATACTTCTGTCTCAGCCTCCCAAACTGCTGGGATTACAGGCGTGTGCCACCGCACCCGGCTAGGACTTATTTCTTGAGTGCCTTTTATTGTTATGTATAGACACATTATTTAACTTCCTTGTGCCTCAGTTTCCTCACCTACAGGAACTTCAGCAGAGGCCAGTGTGTGGCAGCATTATAGAAGCATTAGTTGTTATTTTCCTAGCAGACAGGGCAAACCATCTCTCAATCATGACCCAAATTTGTATTTGGCAGGAGCCACAAGTTTTCTGTGATGCCGAGTGGTGCTGAACTCAAGAGTAGGCTTAAAAAGTGATTTCCTGTCTGAATCCCAAAATTCTCTGAACCGCAACTCCCTTCCCAAGTTTCTTACTGTGTAGGCATACCCCTCTAACTTTTCCAGAATGAATATTCATCCTTAAATACATGAGGTGCCTAGCTCTAGTAATATTTTCTGATTATCATGATTTCCTCATATTTTGTCATTTTCAAAATGACTACATAAACATCATCTCATGTAAACCTTACAGCAAGCCATTAGATAAAGAATGCAGAATACTTTTTTGAGATGGGGTCTTGCTATGTTGCCCAGGCTGGCCTGGAACTCCTTCACTGGCTCAAGTGATTCTCTAGCCTCAGCCTCCCTTGTAGTGGGCCTACAGGCATGTGACACAGTGCCACACTTGAAGGCAGAATCTATTATATGAATGGAGAAACTGAGATCCTCTGAAATAAAGTAATTCCCTTGAGGTCATACTGATGAATAATAATAGTTACTACTACTAACATTTTAAAGACTTAGTATGAGTCATGAAATGGTTGATAATCTACCATTTTTAATCTATCAAAAAAAAGTAATTTCATATTGTTCAACCAAAATGCTAAGTGTATGTCATTTAATCTTCATATCAATCCATTCATTTTATCAGGGGGGACAAAGGCTCAGAATTGAAGACACACATGCCCATGGTCAATCAGTGGAGCCAAGATTCAAGTCCAGGCTCATGTGACTCCAAAATCCACACATGTAGCAATTCTAGATTACATGGTCTTTCTATCATATGGCCAGAGTTTGTTTAGCTACCTGATTCCCTGATTGTTGATGCAACATTTTTAGTATTAAAATTATGGAATTTTTACATTCCCTTGACATAATAACCACCTAAGGAAGAACAGATTATCCCCATATTAAATATGAAAAAGTTAAGGCCAGGAAAGGTTTAATGACTTGATCCATGTCACATAGCTAGTAAGTGTTGGAGTTGTGATTCAAACCAGGTCTGTACACCTTCAGTTTGGGCTCTTGACCATTACACCACTATCCTCAAATCTCCTGGGAATCTCTTAAAACTTTCAAAGCTTTCCCAAACCAAATCACAATCACTCATAGAGGAACACAGAAATGGGGAGTTTCTCAAACTCTGCAGGTAATCCCACGTGCAAAGGAGCTTAGGAACCACGGTTCTCACTACATCCCTTCACACTCCAACCTACTACCTCTTCTACCACTTCCCACTTACGATGTCTGGCCTAAGGTCTCTGCTGAAGGTTAAACCCCAAAGTAGTTACCCTAATCATGTTTTATGCAGTGAATTCTTATTTCCCAGACATGAATTCTGCAGAAAACTCACAGCAGCAAGCAAACTAAGCCACAGCAGTAGGACAATCACAGTATCTTCCAATTGAGAACAGTCAGCTATAAGTGAGGTTGATACCGAAAACATCTTATCAAAAGAGACCCTCAGCTCTCTCAGGTGTGGGCCTTAGTAGGTCACCTTAGTAGGTAGCCCAGCGGAGTCTAGCTGGGGAGAAGGCAGAAGGCTCTAGCCAGCCTTGCTGAGTGGGGTGGACTTGATTACCATTCACATTGACCATGTCAGGGTCCGAACTGTGCTACTTAAGGTAAGCAGGGAGGTGTGCATTCCCTCCAACTGTGTCCAGGCATCCACCAGCTTGGAATACTTCTTCATCTTTATAGACTTTACTTATTTTTGAAAATATGTTTCTTTGATTCCTGCAAGCCAAACCCATGGAAAAATAACGGAAACCAAATGCCAGGGAAATGGAGCCAAGGCAAACATGTTGAGCCCTGAAATAACAGGAGATAGTGTGGTCACGCCTGACCTTCTGAACTGTGCTATGGGTTGAAGCAAAAACAGCTCTCCCTGCCGCTTAAGGGGTGCACGGTAATAGTTTATTTATAATGTGGAAGAGTTTGGGTTTAGAGAGATTGCCTTGTAAAACTGTAGGGACTCAGCCCAAGGGCCAGAAATAATATCATTTTGAGGTATGTTTTTGGAAAAAAAAATGAGCACCCTTCACCTCTGTGATCTACATAAACCTAGAATCATCTGATCTTTATCTGTTAAATGATGAATATCTAAGACCTCTAGAGTTTCTACAAATGTTTCTTTTCTAATCACATCATATTTCAGAGCCGTCTCATGTTAGAGGTCCACAGTCTGCAACATGTAAACACAGAAGGGCCCAGATAAAAAAGTAAAATGATGACCCAGGTTTCAAAAGGGAGTATGGAACAGGCTCCTGGTTTTCATACTAACCAGTTCAACCCCCAGCAATGTGGCAGCGTCAGACCCCCTGGGGTTTGCCAGCACTTAAATTCCTATGAGACACCAGTAGCTGCATTCTTGGACACACAAAGCAAGTCACCAAGAGGAATTTGTTTCATGTTAATATTACCAAGAAAAGACCACAAGCTACAAAGTTCACACAAATGAAGACTGGTTCCCATAGAAGAGATGCTTGTATTAAGATTACTGCCAACTTGTTCTAAGAATGAAATTCTCATTTTCATGTTGTGTTTTTCAGATAACAACCTTTTCCTTTAATTGCATTATTTAATGCATACCTAGAAGACGTTCTTTTTCTTTCTGAAAGAGAAAAAAACACACCATAAAATTAGTTTTGTTGTAGTTATTGAGGGGAAAAGCACTCTATATATGAAATAATAGCAGAAGCCTAGTAGATTTACTATGTGTTGCAGCACACAAAAGCTTAGCCGTCTTTCATGTATAAACATATGTAGTTCTCACAAACAGTAATTGCCATTATTATCCAGAGATTTTATTTTTTAATGGAGTTATATTTATCAATCTTTTTGTCTATGCTTTCTTTGGTTTAAGAACTTTTTTTTTTAACTCCTCCAAATAATAAAAATCTCTGGTAGTATGTTTTTCCTGCCAGCTTTACATATTCAATTTTCAAACTAAGGTTTATAATTTAGTTGGAAATTACTTTGGTTTGGTATGTGAGGTCACAGTCTAATGTATGTTTTTCCAATGGATAACCAATTTTTCTAGTATTGCTTGTTCCCAAGACCACCATCCTTTCCAGAGTGGTTGTGTCACACCTATCATCTGGCATGTTTGGTTATCATGTGGATTATCTTCTGGGCTCTGTTCTGTCTATTCTGGTTCTAACACCCACAATCTTAATTATGAGAGTTTTATAGTAACTTCATATTTAGTAGGACAATTCCAACACCCAACTTCTCTCTTTTTTTTTAATTAATCTATACCTTTTCATAGCAATTTTAGGTTCATCTGGTTAAGTTCCATGAAAACTATTGAGAATTTTTTGTAGGTAACTGGAGGAATCGATATCTTCTTAATAACAAGTCACAACATCATTGAACATGGTATATTTCTCCATTTCTTTAGCCTTTCTTTTGTAATTCATTTAGAAATTATTTTTATAAAGGTCTAGAACATTATTTCATACGTATTCCTAAATGCATTGATTTTTATGCTTATGTGATTGTGTTTAAATTTTATTTTATTTTTCCAATTGTTGAATATTGTTCATTAATAATTTTTCCAGAAATCTTGCTGAACTTTATTAGTCCTAATAAATCATCTTGGGTTTTCTATGGACATAATTATATTGCCTGTGAATGAAAAATGATAGGTTTGTCTTCTTAAATTATCTTATGTTTTCTTTTTCCCATTGACAGAAGGAATCTTTGTTTTGTTCTTGATTTTAAAGAAAAAAGTTTTAACATCATATCCTTTAAAATGTTTGTAGTAGGTTTTCAATAGATATAATATCTTTCTATTCCTATTTTGCTCAGAGCTTGCTCAAAAAAGCTTTAATCATAAGTAGTTACTGAGTTTGATCACTTGCTGTTGAGAAAATTCCATGGCTTTTCTTTAATAGTTTTAATGTCCAACCATCTTTACTTTCTTACGTTAAATCAAAATTTAATACATTTATTAATTTTCTAATCTTTGGTTTACTTATGCATTTGTAATAAGTAAGTTTTGTTTGTAATCTTTCTTTCTGAGTTAGAGAATATTCCTTTATTTTTCTATCCTTCAGTAAAGTTGGCACCAGCATGGTATTAGCTGTTCCTGGAATGTTCAGCCAAATTCATCTGGGCCCAGGTTGGAGGGAGGGGTGAGGGTAAGTTTTTAATGGTTGTTTCCTTTTTTGTAATTGATTAGAGTTCTATTCTTGTTTCTATTACTTCCTTTATTTTAATCCTTTAGTTGTAGATGAACACAATACCTTTATTTTACATATTTATTTTTATGTGGTGCTGTGGATCGAACCCAGTGCCTCACAGTGCTAGGCAAGCGCTCTACCACTGAGCAACATTTCTATCCTCTATTACTTCTTGAAATAGTTTTGATAAGTCACATTTTCCTGTGACATTTCTGCTTTTTCAAACATATTGCCATATCATCTGTATGGCACCATAGCTATGACCCCTTTTTCATATGTAATATAATTTGTGATTACTGACCCTTCTTTCAGAAAGTTTGGCTACACATTTTGTCTATCTTATTCATTTCTTCAAAGAATTCCAGTGGGCATTGTTTGTGCTGCGTTCAGCTTCTCTGGGGCCCTTTTACTCTTTTTTGCAAATTCAGGGTAGTTTTGCTTCCAATGAACAACACATAAAACTCAGCTTCGGAGGACTGATCTCAGGCTACTGGAGCCACTTTGTCCACCTATGCAGATAACTGACATCTGTGGGAATAGGGAAGCCCCTGGGTGGAATGTGTCTCATGTGTACCTCTTACTTCAGAAATCCACTGTAGAATAAGGATCAAACTGTTATCTGTGGGACCTGGTCTGGAAGGGCATCCTTGCTGGGCTTCTTTTGCCCTGACCACCTTTGACTATCCCCTTCCATGCTTCTCCAGGGAACATTTTCTTGTTGAGTACTTACTCATTTTCATCTCAGAGTCTCACTCTGAGAAACCCAACAAAATAGCAGTTTTATTTCTTATTTTTATTCTCTATATTGTGTTTTATTTTCTATTACAGTTTTATTAATGCGTCTCTTTATTCTTTTTTCCCACTATTGGGGGGGATATTTTCTTGAATGAGATGGTTAGCTTCTTACTTTTCTTTCTCTTTTTTCCTAATATAATCATTTAACAGCATAATTATTTTACATACAAGCTGTGACATGTTAAATTTTCATTATTTTAAATGAAAATATTTCCTCATTTTCACAATTATTTTTTCTTTATGATAATCATTAGTTCTGGTCCTGCACTAATTAGTGTTTTTTTTTAGTCATGTCCCTATCATCTTAAAGTCAGCCATGGGAATGGATGTGTTTGAGCCAATAGAACATGAGTAGGATATGATATTTAGGACAGAAAACATAAGATCCACATGCCATCTCTTCACCACTGCAACTGGTAATATGCCAGAAGGCCTTATCCACCAGTGTGGGGCCCAACAGGAAGAAAACATGGCATGGAGTTCCAAATGACTTAGACTGGAATTATACTATGAGTGGGAAATAAACCTTCATTGCTTTAAGATGGCCAAGATATTTCAGGCCTATATGTTATTGCAGCATAACTTATCCTGACAGTTGTACTGACCAAATAATGTTTAGAAGTATCTTTCTTTTTTAATCTTTAAGTGTAGAGAGTAATTTCAAGCATTTTTTTTTCAAGTTCACATTTATTGGAGTGTAGTCAGGGAATATATTCTATATGTTACTGAGTGTTTGGTATCTGATGAGATTTCCTTTGTATTATGACAAGCAATTAGTTTTTTTTTTATTCCATATGTGTAAACTAGATTAAGCTATTTAACTGATTAATTCAAACTTTCATATCCTTATTACCTTTTTAAATTTGTTCTAATTAGTTATACATGACAGTAGAATGCATTTTGACACATCATACATAAATGGACATGTAGATCAATGGTACAGAATAGAAGACACAGAGACAAACCCACATAAATACAGTTATTTCATATTAGACAAAGACACCAAAAACATACATTGAAGAAAAGATAGCCTCTTCAAAAAATGGTGCTGGGAAAACTGGAAATCCATCTGTAGCAAAATGAAATTAAACCCTTAACTCTCACCCTGCACAAAAATCAACTCAAAGTGGATCAAAGACTTAGGCACTAAAACAGAGACCCTGCGCCTAAAAGAAGAAAAAGTAGGCCCAAATCTCCACCATGTTGGCTTAGGAACTGACTTCTTAACAAGACTGCTTATTAACTTTTTATGTTTTAATCTATATTTGCAAAGAGAATTTTTTAAAACCCACTATGTACAGATTTTTAAATTTCTCTTTATAGTCCAATTGATTCCTGTTTTAAATATATTTGAAGTCATAATATTAAGTACATGCTGGTGGCAAATTGCTTATAGTAAATGGCCTTCATTATCCCTAAGAATGCATTTTTATTTTAAACTCTATTGGTCAGAGTGGTTACTTCTGTAAGGTGCTCCAAAGTTTTTAATTAATATTAAAAATTTACTTTGGGCTATCACTGGCCCAAAGTAAATTTTTAATATTAATTTCTCAGCTAGGGAGTTGTAGTAGCTAGTGGTTCCAGGGCCATGCACATGATTTAAAATCAAGTTCCAAAATTATGTAAGATATAACTAACTTCCTTTTCATTTCATTTTCATGGATGGTAGATTTTCTTTCTAGTCACCTTTTAGTGGAGGCCTAACCTGCTGACAGTTTCAGCTTAGGAAGGGATCTCAGTTTCAACTCTTCCCCTCAGGGCGGTCCACAGCCTCTCCTCCCACCCCTACTCCTAGCCAGAGCATAAGCTCAGCTCACTTTCTTTCTCCTTTGGTTTTCAAAGCCTCCTCCATCTCCTTCTTCTCTTTCTCCTTTTCCTTCTCCTCCCCTTTTCTCTACTCCTGGGGACTCTATTAGTACTTTTTAAAAGGAGTTTCACAGTGAGAGGATTTTACATTATCTGGTACCAGCATGCCTGGAAGTTGTCTTAATTATATTTTTATAACTGCACGTCACTAATGCTTTTGTCTTTCTGAGCAAAAAGATCAGCAAGGTGAAAGCAGGATTTTGATAGGAAGTAGGAAGCAGATAAGGGCACTATGTTCTTGTTCTTGGGAAGATATTTTTTAGTCTGCCTACTCTAATTAAGATGATAATCACCATTACACACACACACACACACACACACACACACACACACTTAGTTTTATTTTGTCCTTATTTCTCTATTTATCTTCTTCAGGGAGAGAAAACTCGGGGAGCTTAGAAGGTTAATCATAAATGATATGATAATAATAACAGCATTGTGATAAGAGTTGGCATTTATTAACACTTAAATAAGCCAGGGCCTGAGCAAAGATCTTTGCACATATCCTTTCATTGAAGCCTAAAGACCCTGTGAGTTTCTGGATCTGACAAATGCTAAGCAACTTACTCAGGTTCATACACCTAAGAAGTGGCAGAGATCCAACCTCTGTCAACTGAAGCCAGAGCCTGCACTGGCCTGTACTCTCTCTTGAATATTCCAGTTTAAATATTTAGGTTCTCATTCTTTACTTACCACCCCAATGTCTCCATCCCCACACATAAGATCCACTTAGTTGTTTACTCTCTTCTCTTATTACCAAGCAGAGGGATATTATGTAAATACAAATTTCTGGAGGCTACCTCCTGGCTCTGCTGCAGAGCCCAGCTCAGAGGACACCTCCCCCAGGAGGCTTTCCCGGATGCCTGCAGGCTGGTTAGGTGTTGCTTCTTGTGGCTCCTAGAAGTGCATTATGCCACAATTACTTAATTCTAAGAATCTCTCCTTGGTCTTTGAGCTATATCTGAGGGTGGATTCAGTCTGTCTCTTGTTCTTCTCTGTTGTTTCAGTCAGCTTTGTGCTGCCATGACCAAAAGACCTGACAAAAACAACCAAGAGGAGGAAATGTTTATTTTGGCTTGCAGTTTCAGAGGTCTCAGTTCTTAGATGGCCAGCTCCGTCGCTCTTCCACCATAGAGTGTCATGGTGGAAGGGCATGGAGGAGGAAAGCAGCTCAGAACCTGGCTAACAGGAAAGGGGTGGTGGGGTGTGCATGCTCTGCTCACTAGGGCAAAATAAAAAAACCCAAACACCCCCCACCCCATGGATCCACCTCCTGCATCCACTCCCCACCCACTTACATTTACCACCCAGTTAATCTTCATTACTGGATTAATACACAGATTCGATTACGCCTCTTCTAACTTACTATGTTCACCTCTAGACTTTCTTGTATTGTCTTACATGTGAGCTTTTGGTAGACACCTCATATCTAAACCACAGTATTTGAGTCCCAAACATGTAGTACAAATCCTGATACATGGGGGGCCTGTGTCACACTTTTTTTTTCTTTTTGGTACTGAGTATTGAACCCAGAGACACTATCACTGAGCCACTTCCCCAGACTTTTTTATTTTTTTATTTTGAGACAGGGCCTCATGTTGCCCAAGTTGGCCTCCAACTTATAATCCTCCTGCCTCGGCCTCCCAAATTGCTGGGATTACATGTGTCTGCACCCAGCTCACATGGTTAACCTTTGATGAATAAATGAATGTATGAGTCAATAAATTAATAAATATTATCTTTCATGGATAATAGAGAAAAACTAAATTTATTTCCAAGAATAGAGATGTTTCTTTATTAGTCTTAAAACATACTAATTTATTCTACTTGTGATCTGAAAATATGCAACAAATCTCTCTAGAGATTCATATTTTTTCTGATAATGTGTCTGTTTCAAAATTGCTAAAGTGTCACAGAACAAGAACAAATACACCTAGGGACCTGCAACCTTATTCAGCTCACATATTCCTAGGCCTGAGGAGATCTCTCGCTAGTGAGTCCAGTCTAACTCTGTGCCTTCCCTCTAGGCATAAGGAACATTCTGTTTGCCTTGTGCTCAAGCACTGTGCTCTCCCGTTGTGACAGCGGGACAAGATGTTGCTTCCTCTGTGGGTGGCCACTCTGGGAAACCCTGTAAATTTATTGCAAACTGATGCATTTATTCCCAAAGCAGTAATTTGGGTGTCTTTTTATTCCCTCTGTTCCAAAAGGATATTTTCATTGGGAATGTCCATTTTTAAAAAAAAGTGTAACCAATCTAGGCACAGGTACAAATCCACGTACTAGGGCTATTCTAGAAGGAGACTTCATTTCTCCTACATTAAAGGTGATGGACCAGCTTGCTTTCTCAGAAATAGCACAGAGATGTCTCAGTCACCTGGCTCCTATTAAACCGTGCCATGTTCATGGGCCAAAATGTTGCTGGATCTGTTCCCCTCTTGAAAAAAAGAAAAACCACATATACTCAGGGACACAGTTCTTTTTAATTAGCCCCAGATGGGATTTGTTAGTATGCCTCCCTCCCATTCCATAATAAATCCTTATAATTTAATAACAGATACTTGTTATTCTTGTGCATGCAGAAGCCAGAAGCAGCTTTTCTCGGCATAGAAAAGTGGGGAATTGGAGAGCTGAGAGGAAAGAGAGCAGCCAGGTGGTCGGGTTTTATACTTAGAGGAAATTGGGAGGCTGTGTGCAAGGTGGACACAGCAATGCCCATCTGGGGAGTCTTCCTGATCCTAGATGTCTACTCTGCTGGTTGATGGGAGAAAAGAAGGCTATGTAGGCTTCAGTTATACCCACATACCTCACTTTGAACCCTGTCTCTCCAACGAAGTAGTTATGTGATGCTAAACCAATTATCCAACCTCTCTGAACTTCAGTTTGCTCATCTGTAAAATAAGAAGAATTCTTCCTACATCACAGGATTGTTATGTTGAATTAGAAATCTGTTAAGCCCTAGGCATGGTACCTGGAACATAATACATAGATACAATAATCACATGTAATCAGAGTGATTATTACTGTTATTGACAGAGAACTAGTAATAACTAGTACTATATAATGAGGGAGATGTGTGATGTGAAGTTGTGTTAAGGGACCCATAGACCAAAGCAGTTTTCTTATCCATGATCTTATCATGATGCCTATCCTCTCCCACCCCCCACTATAAAACCATTACCTAAGGGCCACCTGGAAACACGGTATTTAACAGAATTTTAAAATAATGGTGCAGAGGCAGGCAGATAAAACAAGGGCTATCCATACATTATGAAAGATTTACTAAGGAGACCAGAACCTATTAGCAGCCATGGTCACATTGGATAAAACCAGCTGCTGAGAGAACTCTATTATCCAAACTTGAATGAGGGAAGAGGCAATGTATGGCCCGAGGCATAGAGATATACTGCACAGGGTAGCCTGAAGGGTAAGATCACTCATGGCTTAGCACAGGAAGGGTAGAGAGATTTAAATGGGGGATAGAAAAAGGAGGAATAAAGACCAACTTGGCCAGTTTTAAATTTTTTCATTTGTTAAGAACTAAAGAAAGAAAAGAAATATTTTAGAAATTGGAGCTATTATTAAAATTGCTATTGAATAATCTGGTTGTGTGAAAAATTCATGAGTAATCATGAATCCTTATCCTGCATTTTGCTTAAGGATTAAGTAAGAAAGAAATGCAGGAAATCGTAAACCCCTGCAATCAAGCAGGGTAGTCTTTATGAGCAGTGACTGCCCTACTTCATCTTGGCTCATAGAATTTCTGGCAATGCAGCTTTGAACCTGGCATCAAGTTTATTCTTCAAGTCAGGAGTTAAAGGCTTACTCTGCTGCAGGAGGCAATGCCACAACACAGAGAACCCCATGTCCTGAGCTTGAATAAGTCATTTACCCAACAGTGTGTACTGTCTATAGTCTATTTGCGACAAGGGAATTGCTTCCCATGAATAAAACTGGGCTAGTGGACACAACACCAGAGAGACAACTCCAACTCAGTATTAGGAACATCCTAACACTCGAAGCTGTTCTATGAGAAAATATATAAGTACAAAATCCAAATCACCAAATGTATGTCAAGCAAAGGCAACTTACAGAAACACAAATACTAAAGAGGAAATGTGACTCATTGAGTTTAAAGTTCACTTTCAATTTTTCAGTCCTATAAAGGAGAACATGTAACCTTCAACTACAACGAACTTGAAGTTTAACCAAGAAAACAAACTGTGGACATAATGACGGATCCAAAGCTACAGAAAATGAGCCAAATCAATGGTCTAAAAACAGTACAGAAATTCCAAAAGGCAGCTGTCCTAAAAATATTTGATAAAAACCTGAAATTTCTCCACACTTAAAGAAGTTTCACTCTTTTGCAAAGGCAATTGGATTGGGTTCCTGGAGGTGAGAAGAAAGATTAAATCAATTTGGAGACAAAATATGGGGGATGGGGTGTGAAGTTCGGTGGTAGAGAGCTTGCCTTGTATGCATGAGGCCTTAGGTTCAATAACCAGTACTGGGGGAAAAAAAAAAAAGGCAGGGTGGGAAGAGAAAAAGAAGAAGAAAAATTGGCACACAGACTCTCATGCAGTCCCCATAATGTTCCTGCTTAAATGTAATACAGAGCATAATGCTTGCCAATAATAAATAACCGCGAATAAACAGTTGCTTGGCAATTTCATGAGAAAAACCAGATCTGTTTAATTCTGTTCTCTGTATGTCTGTGCTCTAGAGATCTAGTCTCAATATTTTGATTTGCAATACATTAGAATTCATTTGCAATAACTTAGAATTCAAAGACACGGCTCACCAATTAATTATTAATTCAAAAGACACAATCTGTGACCTCGTGATTTTCTATGGGCTTTGAAATCATTACTTATTCATTCTTCATTTCTGAGAGTGTTAGAGGATCAGATTAGAAAAGGAATTCTTCATCCAACTAACATTATGCATCAGCCTGAAATGGGAAATAGAGATACATTACGTAGGGCCTGCCACTCAGTGTAGTCTAAAGACCAGCTGCAACGGGCATCATCTGGGAGAGAGAGCCTCAGCAATGCAGAATCTCAGCTCCTCCATCTCCAACCTCACTCCCAGACCTACTGAATCAGAATCTGCATTTTAACTAGATCCCCAGTGATCCCTGTGCATATTCAAATTTGAGAAGTTCAAAACTAAGCAATAGTGACTCTGTTGCCCACCTTCAAACCTTCACCACCTGAAAGCCTTTAAGCAGCAGCAGCAGTTTCTGGGGGGGGGGGGAAGAAGAGAAAATTACTCAGATTGTAATCATTCATGGAATCACTGATTAAGGTGTTTGTCTTAATCAGTGTCCTGTTTGTCCTGTTGCTAACTTGGTACAGCCATGTTTAACATGGGCTGGCAGAGCCTTCTGCTGTTGTGACCCAAATCAGCTGATTAGTCTCAGTTAGTTACTAGATTTTGGGGAAATGGAGAAGAGAGCCTTAGACCCAAGTCTGGGCAAGGAAAAGCAGCTGTTTCTCATAAACTGCAATGAACAAGCCTAGGAGGGCTTCAGCATTGGTAACCTGAAAACTCCTGCCTTTCTGTCAACAGAGAGAAATCCCTTCCTGCTGTGGGGATGTTGGAGATACCAAAAGCTGCAGTGGAAGCTCAAGCCTGAATTTAGCCGCGAAGGGGAACTTTAGGGGCATCCAGGTTTGAGGAATATACCAAACAAAGTATTTCCTAGAAAACTTTCTCAATTCAAAAAGACCATTGATTGCAGGAAATGACATGGATTTCACAACAGCTTTTCAGGAGGAGTGGCCAATGCTTCTTTAAATGCAATGCAGATATATCCCTATATTCCAAAAAGTTAAATAAAGTGAGGGCAAGGTTTGTGGGAGTATATCTTAAAATCAGGAAACCTTGGTAGATTAATGCTTTGACAATTTCACTGGCCAGTTTGCTAATGTATATTAGCAATTTAGTTTTTACATGGCTTCCTGCAAATGCGTGTTAAAAAAAAATGATGTTCATTGTTTTTTTTTATTTATTTTATTTATTTTTTTATTG